TTCTTCAATTTCATTATTTTGACAAGCGCCTCATTTCACCATCATGCCCCACATATTCTAGCACAAGATGTAAGGTATCCAAGCTTCTTTCAATAAAAATAACAGTACCCAGTCTCATGGTTATTATCATTAACATTTGATGAAAAAAAAACCAACGTTATTTTTAAAAAGGAGAAAAGAGCAAAATTTAAGTGTTTGCAATCAGAACAGTCACTTTTTTTTTTTTGCTTGGGAGTTTACTGTAATTACATAGGTAGTGCAAAAGTGGTATCAGACTAACATATATTATGCTTGATTAAAATTATGCAAATGTGCACACCTCTACCAACATCCATGTGATACAACCATTCACAGCTCCTGAAAGAGCCATTTATTACCCCCCCCAAACTTCGTAATAAAACATCACCAAAACAAAGCATGCACCAAATTCTGCTTTCTTCAAGACAGGAAAATATATTGTCAATAACACAAGAGGTATCTCTCTAACTCTCACGTGAATCAAAAGGGAATCAATCTCTACCACGGACAGAAACTTTAGAAAATAAATTACGAGAATAGAACAAAGCTTGCAAAATTTAATGATGCTGAAAACATTTCCCCTCCTGAAAACTGCTGAGCTGTAAGTACAAGATGAGTTAATTACAACTGTTCATGGCCGACAAATTTGACAAGAAGACAGTGCATCACTGAGTGTACACAGTACACAGCGTCGAGATCTTATCCATCTGACGAATTCATAATTAAAAAATTGAAACTTCTACCACCTCCACTTCGGCTAGTACAAGGATAAGAGCAGACAAGATTTTAAAACAGTGAATGTCTTCTACAAAAGCAGCTTAATTTGTTTTGTTTTTTTGGAGTAAAGAGAAGCAAATCGACACAAAAATGGTCATTTAGTGCTGTGAAAAAGTAAGACAGACAGACAGAGACAACAGAGGGAAAGTAAAGAAGTAGGACCTACTACTACTAGTGGCATTCTCCAACCACTTGCTCAAGCAGCCTAAGTGAGGTACATTAGATAGCAATTAAAATATGACATCTTTACTTGTGCTGCTATTTCTACAGGATCTTACAGAACGCTTTCTCAAAAGGACTGAGAACAGTACAGAGAAGAAAGTCTGTTCATGAAAAAGCGGTCCCGTAATTCAGTCACCACCACATGGCATTCATACAACACAAGAAGGAAGTACCGTACATGAATGAGTAAAATGTGTGGACATTAGACACAGGTTCCAGTTTGTGACAGTGACAACAGCTGATATCTCTATGAGCTGACTGACCCCCTTAGAAAGTATACAGGAATAGGCCAGATTTCAACTTTCCTCCATGAATGCAGGTTACCATGAAAGTTTAGGGGGGGGGGGGGGGGGGGGGGGAGAGAGAAGGAGAGACAAAAAACACTTGCCACTTTTTGTTTAGAGTACAACAAGAAACATTTGGACTTTACAAACCCTACAACAAGGATACTTTCCAAAAGAAGCCAAGATAAATTTAAGAAGTCAATCCTTTATATCTGAATCAACAGAAGGGGGGGGTAAAAGAAAAGAACATTCAGTGCCAGATTAAGCAATAAAATTATAAATTTTCCACCGGAATCTCCAAAAAGAATGAAATACATGGACAATTTTATAAGTAAAGAACTCTTACTCTGTGAGGGAAAGGACTAAACAAAGCAGTCTTTAATTATGAAACAGATTTCTATGTGCCATTGACACACGTTTTCTGTTACTGACAACCCAACAATCTCTGATAAAAGCTGTAATAAATGCATTATTATTTTTATTATTATTATATGATCTCAATATTAAGTATGCATCAATTACTTTTCATTGTAACCCTCTAAATAAATGCCACCAAAAAAAGATTTCACTGTACAAAATCTTTGGTGGGGTGCACAAAAGAATTATAACTAATTCATGATCACGGTGAATCAGCCTTGTGACAGTCCATGCTTCTACATCAGTCATAAAAAAACAACCTAACAATCAGTAATAAAATAAATGAACCACTCATTTCTTTCAGAATTGAAATGCACTGCTCTGCAAATGCATTTCCCTTCTTTATCTGTAATTATATAATAATATAACATTCCTTTTTATCAGTCACGGTGCTTATTACTACCACTAAAAACAAAACAACATGAAAAGGCAAAGAAACACAGTGCTAGTAACAGCATGGGGACAAAATGGTGAGGGGCAGACACATATCATGTACGTTAATTCCACTCTAGAATTTCGTCATTCTTGTGTGTGTATGTTGTGCTTGCGTACATCATTTCACGTATTACATGTTTCATCCGTTTTTTTGTCAGCAGGAGCTCAGTGAATGTTGGATGCTTGTAGAGGGCAAGTAGAAATGTTAGGCTTTCATTTTTCAAAGTTGCCCCCCCAATTTAGATGATTAAGGATTAAGAAGGAGGCGGGCATCCGACCCAGCATGTTTGGGTCAACTCAGGTTAAAAAGAGGTAATACAAATTACTTCATCCCAGCAGAAAGACCAAGATGCTGCTACCCCCCACTCCCCTACTCCGGAATCGAACTCCCGCATGCAACAGCCAAGCAAAGCGCTAAAACCGCTACACCACAAAACACAAATAGATGAGTAGAGAAAGCAGCTTGGGTGTGCATGACTATGAGGAAGGGGCAGCACATTGTTTAAAGTGCTGGTCCTGGTACTGGTGGTCATGTAAGAAGTCAGACGTCCCATTCACAGGACTGAAAAATTAAATGTATTATAATAATAAATGAGAGCTTGTTCTGACAAAACTATTTTCCAAATTGTCATTATAATAAATCCTTTGCTATTCTTTATTCCTCACCATTATCATCATCAAATCAGCCAGAGAGACTTCGCACAAACTGTAAATTCATAAACTCCTGCCTGCTTAAAGAAGATTATAAATTATAGAGTAAAGGAAAACCCAAGATGATATCTGAGAGAAACAAAATGCTTTGTGCAGGAAACAGAACTGAAAATGGAAGGAGGACCAAGACTGTGAGAGTTATATATTCCTTCTTAGAGATCAAGATACAAACAGTGATGATGAATATTTCTATCACATCTGTGGGAACTTTGGAGGACAACAGGCGGCAGCGACAACACTGGGAGATTGTTTCCTTGTTTTACCCGTCCACATAATTTAAATTACTTTTTTAAACTCATGATATTATTCATAAGTATACTTGACAAAAAATAAAGCACTTCAATCATGCGTAAACTTGTAAAAAAGGAGGGGGG